GCCTATCTAGAGCTCAGCATGCTTATTGTAAAGGAAGGTCGGTAGATACTGCTTCGCATACAATTGTGAGGTGGATAGAGGAAGCCTTCACTCACAAGGACTTTGCCGTAGGAGCCTTCCTAGATATCGAGGGGCTTTTAATAATGTCCTGCCGGACGCAATAGTTAAGTCGCTAGATAAGCTTGGGGTTGAGGTCAGTCTCATTAGGCTTATAGAAAACTTGCTGCGTGACTATAATTTTTATACAAAGTTTAAAATCTGAATTTATATGGTGTTTGTTGTATAGCCAGCTAGGCTTTTATAAAAAAATAATAAACATTAAATAAACAAAAGACAAATAGCCAAAACTGGTCAAAATATCGCACTCCTATTATTTTGTGGACAACTGTATGTATGTAAGTATCTACGTATTGTGTTGTCATGTCATGCAGACACTTTATGGTGAACGCCAACAAGCAGCAGATGGCAACCATTGAGCATGAGTCACTACATACTACTTTTATTTTGGTTGGTACCCATGCTGTTGCTGCCCGCTGCTGGTTTTGGTATTGTCAGCGGTGCGCATCACACCACCACAATATTCTACGAAATCGGCATTATTAACTGTGTAGAGCCAACTGTATGTAGCATTGTTCTTTAGACTCGCATATTTGCAATATACATACATATATACAGTGACGAGCAAAACTGTAACATGATGTAACACTTTTTATTTCAGCCACCGCTATCTTTCATAGTTCTAACGACTTTCATACTTTTGTTGTATATTCTTATTGGTACACTCCTACTCCCGCTCTCATAACGATTTGAGGTCAATCCAACAACAATAAAAAAACCTGGAGACAAAAATGTAAGTTAAGGCAAATGTTACAGTTTTGCACTCACTCTCAGTTTTGCATTTTACAGTTATCTTTTGCTTATTTGGAAGTCAGATGACTTTTTTCTGTATTGTANAAGAAAAAATTAAAAAAGAAAATTTAATCGAAAAAAATATCAAGAAATTCGTGGGATTGTCCCTTTCAAATATGCTTCGAGTTCCCCGTATTCCAAATTCATTGTTGATTTTATCCGCATTGTGTTGGCTGGCGGCAGTAGGCAGCACAGGCAACACAAACAGCACGCGTGAGTACCACCGCGCTCGCTGCAGTCTACAGGGATGAATATTCCTACTGGATGGATATGTAGTAGGTATGTTGTTAAAGAATTTGAAATAGGAGCACTCGGAAATCAACATCACTCTTGTTTAGGTTCGCAGCTGCTGCAAAAGTTAAGTCATTATTGAATTTGCACTCCAAGTAGCCGGCGGTTGAAAGGGCAGTGTACGTACTACTGCAAGCGGGAAAAGTAAAATGGAGCAGAGATAATTTTTTTTTTCTAAATCGAGTAGTGATGAAATTTTCTTAATTAAAATGTGCTTAAAAGGTATTGTTTTTGATACACATGATAAACTTTTTTTTGTATCAAAGAAAACTTAAAAATTTACGTTACTTTTTTTTACATCAAATATTTCCTTATCGGAGATAGCCAATAAAGTAAAAATCTTGTGTAAGATTTGCAGTTGCTTGAATCGATTTGTACTAAAGTTATCGATACAAATAGAACCCAAAGGTCCCGACTCTTCGATCTTCGCCTTAATGGATTTAAAACCGGCAACTTTAGAATCAACGACAGGGATGACGAAAATGATATCTGTAACAAGAACGGTATTAAGAGGTTAAAGACATCGATAGCATGTTTACTAAAGTTATGGATAAAAATTATGTATATAAAAACGGTTAATAGTGATTTCGACAACAACATCGATAGAACGACACCAGTGATATCGATAGTGATTACGCCAACAGGTAACCACGGCAGTCGGGTCTACGTAACCGATCCAGATTAATGCATGTACATACATATATCTGGCCAAGGTCTGTCACTCCAGTATCACTTCCCAAAAACTCTTTAGGTTAACGGGCCGCCTCCGTAAATGCAGGCACACTTAGACTTGGAGTAAGCTGTTTTTTTTATTGTCGAGGGGATAAAATCAGGAACGCCGAAATGATGTGAGGGTGGATAAGCACAGAGGGGGTATGGGGTGGAGATACAGAACGATTACACCTAAGGCTTCTTATAACAAAAACGCTCTGTACTCACAACGAAGCTCTTCAAGCGACTGATATCTGTTCCCGAAAGCTCATCGTGAGTGTGGAAAAAGCGCGACCCAAGGTGCCTGAAACTTAAAATTTAAATTTATGCATTTTCGAGCTTAACTCCTTAATCTGTAATTAAACACAGATTAACCATACAATATTACATACAATTATCTACGATTACTTTTCGGTTCACAAACTAGTTTTATCGATTATTTTTGCAAAGAGGAGAAATTTGAAACGAAAAAGTAAACAAAAATAGCTTATTGTAAGGAAAAGAGGTTTATAAAAGTATTTGTAATAAAATATTAAGTTAAAGTTTATTCAAAAAGCTTCATTGGCAGAAAAAGTGATCACAGTGATACCGAGAAGAAATTTCACGTTTCCTTGAGTTGTGAGAAAAACAAGCAAAAAAATTTTAAGCAGCTAAGAATCCGAGATTTTACTGTGTAAGCGGGGTGATTAACGAAGCAGCTTTGATTGAGATTATATTTACATAAATGTAAACGTTCTTTAAGGCTCGCAAAGGCATGCTACCAGAGCAGCAGGTGTTGAGGTGGTTCCACATCATCATCCTCTATGCAGCTGATGCAGTAAGGGTCATCGTTGATAATCAGCCTTACAGCAAACTTTTACCCATCACTCAATGACGTAATAACGAGAGGTGTAACTTGCTTAGAGACAGTTTTTCAGTGCTAGTGTATACTAAGATCACTTAATGTTGTTTCGAATGAAAAACGTCGCTAAAGATTAAAACAGAAAAAAACCCAAATATTTTCGTTTGCCATTTCTTAAGGGGCTTTAGTTGGTTTATGTGGTAAACAAGTGTTATTTTTTATTATTGCAAATGTATTTATTTACACATGTGTATCCATATGTATATGGGACGTTCCATACCGAAATGGACGGGGTTCATACTTCATGTGTTTGATTTGTTTCAAATTTTTAGGGTTGATTGATAAACATAAATAATAAATAAATTTGAAATTTGAGTTTGATTAATACATTTTTAAAAACTTTACAGCACAAAAACAAAAACGAATCGATTTAATAGTTTTCCAAATACATATCTCGAGAACGGGGTGAGGAAAAAATTTGAAAAAAAAATCACACATACACACATCCAAATTCTCTATGAAAATAAAAATTTGTTAAAATTTTTTTCTTGAAATATATTTCACATACAAATTTTTTAGATAAAAAAAAAATATTTTTTGAAAATATGACAACTCAAAAAACATTGAACAAAATCACAATGTTAGCCCTGAGTATTGCGCAATATTTAAGTATAGTATTACGGGGTGCACTCTACAATAATTTGGTTTATGAATTTCTTTTTACACCGAAGTTGAGTAAAATGATACATTACAAATTTACAATTTTTTTTGAGTATGCAGTTTTGTAGCCCATTAAATTTTATAATTTATTTATTTATTATTTATGTTTATCGATCAACCCTAAAAATTTTAAACAAATCAAACACATGAAGTATGTGAACCCCGCCCATTTTGGTATGGAATGCCCCATATATACCCATATGTACAAATATATCTATGTACATATGCATGTGTGTGCAAAAAAGTACTACATGCGTCAAACCGAGTGCTTCTCATGAATGAATGCCGTAAAAATAAATACAATTATCAAAAATAAAAATAAAAAACACATTTCTCCGTAGTGTGCGATTGTGTTTATCGGTGAAGGTGGAATTCTTTGAAAATTGATAACAAATGTCTTTTAATTGTGAATTGACTTTAGTTGACTACGACAAAAGCCCTATAAAGCAATCAGTCAGTCCGTTGCCTGACTCTGAACAAGTGCGTCGTGTTTTCGAGGTGTGTTTAAACGTTCTGAATTACTACATATGAATGTACACATGTACATACAATTTTGCACATAAATAAAGTAAATAAAAATAACAAAAATAGAGTGTGTGCTTATTAGAAAAATATTTGTATCATATACATACATACATACATACATAAGTGGTGCGTACACATACATATAAATAAAGGGTGGCTCATGAGCAAGTTTACTTTTGAATCACAGGCTATATTGAAAGTCACAACTTTTCCTTATGAAATTAGCTCTGATGCAATACTTTCGTATACAATTCTTTAAAAATGTCAAACAGCAAAATTACTCTCTGAAGTGAGAGTAAAAAGTGTGTAGCAACTAAAAAAAAAAAAATAACTTTTCCCGTGAAAACGTGAAACAGCTTATCGCTTGACAATTTTCATAATTTTCCTAGAAGAAAAAGTTCGGGTAAAACCTTGCAACTTCATTCTCTACACAACTCTCCAAAATTTGCTGGGTTTCTGTTGTAGTACGTGGTTTTACCTACGAAAAGGTTCATGAAACAAGCAGCTGGATACGTCAAGCGACTTTCCGCTTGATCATCGCATCTCATTTATTTCTAGAGAGTACGTTGAATTGAACATTAGATTTAGTGAATCAAGGAAATAGCCTTAACTGTAAATTCTGGCAGTTCATGCAAGGAAAATTGAATGCGCGAAAGTCATGATTACCTGTCAGTTTTGGTGATAAGGAATATTTGTGCTTTGTTCCAAAGGCGTTCGTGCCAACACCAGCCACGATTCTAAACAGGACTTTATTGGAATTAACAGTAATTCCCAAAGTGTTCTATGCTATTTTCGCGATGACTGGTTTTGTTGTCCGTAAATTACGTTTTAATCGCCTTATAAGAGTTGTTAGAGGTTACCATTACCACTGAAAGAGCCAGGTTAACGTGTTGTCATGAAAACTTACTTAAGCACTTCGCGGCCAACTTATTATTAAAGTCTATATACAATCATTTTTTATTAGAAATACATTTTAATTGAAAACTCTTCTCTTTGCTTTCAGATACAGCAAATCTCGATGTGCCACTTTAATTACAGAATATAAAAAACAAAACAAATTGTTGAAATATCTTCCGATGGGGCACCGTTCCAGCAAACAATCTGCTGGCCTAACCGACGGTAACACTAGCATCAATAAAAATTCAACTAAAGACACATCATCAGTAGCTAAATTATCCAAGCAATCGACTCGTCGTCATTCGTCACGTTTTCCAAAGTCGCGTTCAGCAAATAGCGAAAACAATCAACATTATCGCCACTCAATCGCATCACTTAACAGCAGTAGTGGTAGCGCCGCTACTGTGTACGGAGATAAGCTCTTGCCTGTTTTGCGGTTAGATAGCGGCGATTCCATAACCTCGGAAGGCTCATCGGGTCTCGGCTCAGTGACCAACAACTCATCAGGGCAGATTATTATAAAAATACGCTTCAAAACGCATACGCCGGGTGACATGGACAATGCATCAGAAAATGCACAGTCTTCGCCAACTACAGCAGCCGAGTCATGCGCTCCAACGTTGGCAAATAGCGAAGGTTATCGCCGTTTAGTGGATACGAATTCGAATAAGGTGCCGCGTGGTGATGCGGTTTTATTGAGAGCTGCTGGCAGTTCTCCCAACTCAGCGTTAAACAATACATACAGTGGTTGTAATATAAATAATAATAGAGCATCTCTTCCGGCACACTTGAATGCTCTACGCATTACTGAGCCGCTATTGGAACAAGGGATGGATAGCGCTAGTGCCGTTGAGTATTACGAGGTTAACGAAGAGGCTACAACCTCAGCACGCACGCGGCCCGATACAAGTCGGCGTCAGAAAACAAAGTCGGCTTTCATGAATTTTAGAAGCATTTTGGAATCATCCAGCAGCAGCAGTAAATCGCAGCTCAATAAAATTTCTTCAAACAGCAATAGAAATAATAACAATAACAGCAGCAGCAGCAGCAGTAGCAGTAGCAGCAATCATTCCCGCAGTATTGCACAAACGTCACCAACATCGCTGTCGGCATCACAAACACAAAATCAATATCGGCCTCGTGGCGGCGATGCAACAACAGCTAGTTCTTCCAGCATTTACCATGACACTCCAATAAGTAATGCCTTTGCGCCGACAACTTCCAATGCACTTATGCCCGGCACTCCATTATCGATTACTACCTCAACGGCAACACTTCCACTTTCACCATTACAACAGACGACGGCAACCACCAATCAGCTGGCTATTTGGGCAGCTAACAAAGATGTAATAATCTCTGCCATTAATTTGGTGGTGTGTCCATCCACAACGGCTGTCGGTTTGGAACGTTTGATGACCACAGAACTCGTGGCTGGGAATAGTTGCAGTGTTGGCGGCGATGCAAGTAGTGGAGAACGCGAGCAAGTATGCGCAGTGCCCACTTCGTTGCTAAGAAACAGTAGCACACAGGTGTCAGCGTCAGCGACTAGCGGCCCCATTGTACACTCACAAGTAGATTTTGTGCATTATCTTGTGCCAGATTTGCTGCGCATTTTTAACTCGAGCTTTTACTGGGGCAAAATGGATCGCTATGAGGCCGAGCGTCTACTGGAAGGCAAGCCCGAAGGTACATTCTTGTTGCGCGACTCGGCGCAAGAAGAGTATCTATTCTCGGTAACATTCCGAAAGTACGGGCGATCGCTGCATGCGCGCATTGAGCAAAGTGGACACAAGTTCAGGTAAGCGTGTTTCAAGTGTAACTCGCCATTTAATTGGGTTGAGTGACAGGTTGCTATTTTGCAAAATTCATTTGTACCCAGTTAAAATCTTTAATACTCGCTCACTTAATTTTTCATTCTCTCCTTTTAACAGTTTCGATTGCCACGACCCAGCAGTGTTTAGTACTTCAACAGTGACCGGTTTACTGGAGCACTACAAGGATCCCGGTAGTGTCATGTTCTTTGAGCCAATGTTGACTGTACCATTCCATCGCAAGACAGTCTTCTCTTTGCAACAGCTGGCGCGCGCTGCCATTGTTTCCAATACCACCTATGACGGCATATCGGAGCTGGAGCTGCCGGTACGCCTCAAAGCATACCTTAAGGAATATCACTATAAGCAAAAGCTACGCGTGAAGCTACTCGACGACGCGCTACTCACATGTGCCTAGTGTCCGCTGGGCGCGGCACATTACCGCGCCGCCATTATTGCTAGCAACAATGCTTTAGGTGCTAGCACTGGCGTAGGTGATGGTGGCCGAATGCTGATGCATGCAACATCTACAACAGCTGCTGCGCTTGGCGTAAATGTTGGGTCTCTTGTTGGCGATCATGGTACCAGTGCCAGTGGTGATGGCAATGAGTTAAGCGCCAGTGTCGCTGCAGGATTGGTTGAAGGCTTGGTAAATATGCGTTTAGTGTCGGTAGAAACATTGCACGACCTTGTCGATCTAGAAGACTTGCAGCACGCGAACACCTTTGTTACTTACGTACAGCACTCGGCTGTTTTAGAGCAACTCAATGGTAATTCTGCAGAGAAAGGTCATAGGAGCAACATCAACAAGCAGCGACAGCGTCGTCAGCAGCTGCTTAAAATACCAAATCGCATGACAGAGTTGCTAAGCCGTGTAACAGCTAATTTAAATTGTTACAATAATGCGCAGCGCCTTAGACGCCAACGGCAGCAGGCGCAGTCGCAGCAGCAGCAGCAGCATCAGCAGGGAGAGAGAGTGTCTTCGCAAGGCCAGGAACAGTAGGCGTTTAGGCTTATAAGGAAATATATATATGTATCTGTATAAATACATCATACATATATACAAGACAATCCCAGTGAATATGAAAATCAAAAATGTAAACAAAAACTCCAAATCGTGTATGACTACAATTGAAGGGTGTAGAAGATGTGTAATGATATCGAAAAACCCACAAAGTCTACCGTCTATTACACTCTTTAAATTATGCTTGATGATGTATCAAAATAGTATTAAGCAACAGCTATGTGTAATGGTAATTATAGATATTTTTTTCCTTTTGCATAACAAGCACACATAGCTCAACCATGTATGTATGTAAATGCAGGCTCTAAGCACGTTTGAAGTTTCGAATTCATTAGGGGTATTCTCTGAGTCTTGCAAAGCACGGTAAGTACCGGTTTTCTTATGGGTCAGCTTTGCAAACCGTGCAATCCGTGCACCGTGCAAGGGCTTTGCAAGACTCGGCGAATACCCCCATTGAGCGATTGTTCTACGTAGCGAATTTGCTGAAAACGTATTTAGGCTAGTGTTTTTTGCGGCTTAGATTTATTAGAGATGTAACAGAAATTATTGAAATTGTATTAAATATTAAATGTACATATGTTATATGCTTCTTGTTACTATTTTAATTCCTAGAATGTTCGTTTAGTTTATTGTAATATAGAAACACAAATAGTTTTAAAATATTTAGTTAATGAAATTATTTATTTTCCTACAAATGTATGTATATAAATTTATTTATTACATTTTTGAACTTTTTACAGTATGTATGTATTTATGTACTATGCTTCCCTTCTCATTACCGACTTTATTATAGTACTTAGATGTTGTGTCACTATTCTCCCGTTAATCATTTATTTATTTATTTTATTTTTCTTGGTTATATACATACATTCACAAAATTATTCATCAATTGTAAATACATATGTAAACATTTTGTTGTTAAAGAACAAATGCACATTTAAATTCCTACATTTATACATAAATGTGATTACTTATTATATTGGTTGCTGGAACCCTAAAATAATTATTATTAGTGCCGGCAAAGTAAGGTTAAGGATATAGTTGAGCGACGATAAAAGCGCCAAAAGTCGTTTTACAAAGATTTCAGCTCTTTTTTTACGTACTACCGCACTTAATTAAGTTGGTGAATCATCTAGATATTTTTTCGTCGCTCCACTATATTCTTAGCTTAATAAACAAATCGAACAAAAAGTTGTAAGACTATTTGGGAGAAAAAGTACAATACTTTGCAGTCATAGTGTTCAACTGTACTTACATATCCATGACTGTAAAACTGAATTTATTATAATTGCAATTGTTTAAATTCGTTTTGAAAATATGTATTAAAAAATATAACTAAAGCAACAAAAACTCAAATCTGTTGTGTTAATTATTACACTGCTCAACAAAAAAAATTGGTGCGAGATATCGTTAGTATGTAGTTTGTTTTAGGTGTGGATTGATTGATAGTACTAAAAATATTTATTTATGTTTCCATCGCGTAATTTTGAAATTAACGTAAATTTTATTTATTGCGCATTTGAAGTCTTATCGGTAGGTTTCTATAAATAACTTGATTTTAATATCATATGTTTTCATCGCGTAGAAGTTGGGCCTGTTCGAGGCACGTAATAAAAGCGGCAATACTGCAGCACTGATGAAAATATGCAATACTGTTGCAACTTCCCAACTGATAAAACGTTGCTAGAAATTCACACCGAACGTGATTCTTTAATAATTCGCGCAACACTGCGGTTGTGATTACATCTCGAACAAGCCCGTTGTCTTAATGAGCCAAATGTATTTTGTTATACGTTTTTGGTGAATACAGGGGTTAAAAAGTTCCGAAAACCTGTAAAAAATTTAATAAAAAAAACTTATTTTTTCTGCTTCAAATCGAAAATTGCGGACGAATACAAGCCGTGAACAATTGAGATAGTAGGTCAGTGGCCAACAAACCTCTATGAGGCTGGGAATTGCCTATGCAATGGAAAGAACAGGGGGGCTACTCTGTAATGCGATACGAAAGCGAAATGCGATGCGATAGGCAATCGCACAGCGTATTACTTACGGCATTACAGAGTAACAATTAGTGGCACGCAGGAGAAGGAGGCATTAATGGCCCTATTATGTATCGCGACTGGTGTCTAGTTTCTGGTCTAGTAGCCATAGCTACCAACATCGCATTTTGTATTGTCAACCGAATTTACTTTTTAACCGACTTCCAAAAAAGGAGGAGGTTATCAGTTCGTCGGAATATTTTTTTTTTTTTTTGATGTATGTTACCGCATAACTTTGGACCACGTCAACCGAGAATTCTATTTGCATCGGAAAGGTAGTGTCTCAGAGGTGGTCCCATTCTAATCTGGTGTAGATCCGATCATTGGATCATGAAATATATGTATATATATATTTTTTTTTAAGTCGGTTTTTTTTGCTAAAAATTACTTGTTTGACGTGTACATTTCGAATTTACGGGTTACATTTTAGTATATGGTTGTCTATCGGCTATCAGTCGCCATATATAATAGGGCCAAAATGACACCTAAAGGTACTTAGGCTCAAAACGTTTCAGCCTCCCCTCGTATATATGGGGATAATATAACCCATCATAACTTATGAAACTATCATCTGGATTGATAGATCTACACAACGGGGAGCCATCCAGGCGCTCACTAAGATCCGAAGGTGGCATGCGTATGCATATCTGGAACCATGAGAGCTTGTCTAACAACATTCTTGGAAGTTATTCTAGAACTCACACCTTGAAACATGAATAGCGAAACCAGAGTATTGTGATTTTGCCCGAATGCCAGCGGATACCGCATCGGATGCCAAATTCGGACATCGTGGCGTAAAGACAGCTCATTTTCATGCTTTCGAAGGCGGCTTTAAGGCGACACATATGTGGTGAGTGTCGACCGTCTTCCCGAGGATTTTTTACAAGATTTTGTGAATGCGTCGTGTATGATGAATTTACTAATGTCTAAGGCCAAAGCCAATAAGGTCGAATCCGTTCGTTAGAGGGGTCTCCTTTTGTGGATTGGGCAGGCACGATCATGCCGAGTATCATTTCAAATCGTCACTGCACTTGAATAGCTCAGCTGGCAGGCCGTCATTCCCAGTAGTTTTGTTGTTTTTCAGCCGCTAAATTACTATTCGTAACAGTCGGGCGGTGGGGGCGGCAGGTTCATCTTCTGCACTAGTTTCAGTGTTGTTACTATTCGGTAGGGAGGATGTTCTTGAGTCGGTAAGTAGCCTAACTTTCTGGGGGAGAAAATTGGATCTTGTTTTAGTGGCAGTGCTAAGCCCGTCCTATATCGGCTAATTTAAAGCTAAGCGCAGGAAACGTGGCTTAGAATTACACGTATGCGCTATACATGCATAGTCGAAAAATATTTCGATACAAATTGACCCACCCTAATGTACATATGTATATATATCGGTTGGATAAATGGTTCTCTCGGGAAGCAGGTGTGAGCGCCGAGTAGAGGCTTGCTGATCGGTTGTTGTATAAAAAACGCATCTCTCTGTGGAAAAGTTGTAAACTTTCAAAATCATGAAGCATGTAATATAGGTACACAAAAATAATTTTATTGGTTATTTAATACATAAACCATATAAAATATAATTACTTAGGACATGTTTTATATTTTATATTTATATTTTTGTTATTTTTCACACAGCTCAAACTCTGTTGGATAATTGTGATGCTCATAAAAATTGTAATACTTAAACATATCTACATTACAGTGCATCACTCTCTACACAGCAAAAAAACAAACTGTTTCCAATCGGAAATATAAAATGTATTATATATTTTAAGACCTCCGGTCAAAATATTTCAGAAAAATTGTATGCTTCACTTGAGCTAGAACTATTTCAAAATACCTTTAAAAATATTTTTTCTCAAAAATCATCTTAAATGATAGATGAGTTTAAGCTTTTAAATATCCGCAAAAAAAAAAATTAAAAATTTTATCACGAAATTAATATAATGAGATTTTACGAGGTATTTCCAAATTGGTTTTTGCAATGCACCCTAATCTGCATACATACATACTTCAAATAGGAAAATGCTAATTTCATGCTGAGAATTACAAATTTCTCAAAATAACAAGTAACTGTTTTTTTTTTTAAATGCATATGAACGTGTCTGCATCAAACCTAGATCGCAATGGTTCCAATATAACCGTTAACTTGTTAATACACTGGGCCATTACCGTTATATAGATACATATCTATCGCCTAATTTTTGGTAATACATATTTTTTAATCTGTTTTTTTTCGAAGCTCATTTTCCACCTAGCCGCCCGCCAACTCACTGCAACAGTAAATCTGTTTCCGACGCATTCGCTGACATTAAATCCTGCTCCAATTGCGTCGTTGTTGCTGCCGTCTGATTTAGAAACAAATCAAAATCGTAAGCACCATTTTGTGCAGCAACCGAATCCTTTTGATTCGTCAAAGTTTGCGGATTGGACATAAGATCGACACCGAATAGACCCAACTCCTTTAAGAGCGTTTCATTATTTTCCGCACACTGATTGTCCGCCGCGTCAAGATCGTCTAAGATGCTTCCCTTCTGCTGTACATTCATTACGGGCGCTGGTGTTTCGACCGCCTCTAGGCCACAAACAACTTCGGTGCTCGACGCGCGTAATGTATTCGCTTCAGTGCGCACGTTGCTCTCCTCATCTTCTTCGTCCACGTCCTGGGGCTTCAACGTGCTGGACTTGTATTGGAAGTCAGTTTCTTTAAAATCAACCTCGATAGGGAAAAGTGACGGCAAGGCGTCCATGCGCTCGACCACTGAACGATTCAGTTGCGCCAAACTATCAAGCAAACTGCGCAATTGCTGATTGAGATCAGTAGCATGTTTGCACTCCAGCAATTCCATCTTCTCCAATACATCGGTACGCAATTTGGCGAACTTGTTGCGCGCATCCTGGCGACAACGCAAAATTAGTCTGTATTCATAGTTGCCCGTCTCGACGCGATAGAGCGGCTCTTGCAACGCAGCAAAGCTATGCTCCTCATCGTCCATTTCCTTCACCTTCAGACAGTACGAGAGGTAAGTAAATTTCGCATCGGCATAACGGCGCACAGTCAGCTTGGTGTCCGGTATCGCCTTGTTCAGGTACGTGCCCAAATCGGAGAGTACTGGCTTGATTTGTTTGATTATGCCGAGACCGTCCCTTTCGAGATTTCGATGAAATTCGCCAAACATGCGAAACGCCTCAGAGGCGCGTTGCTGCGGTTCGCGTGCGCTAATCTGTGTGAAACAATCGCCGAAGGCTTTGTAAGTTTGCAGCAAATCGTAATAGGCTTTCAGCATGCGTCGCGCATGCTCCACCAAGCCTTTGTACATCAGTTCGGTTCCCTCAAGTTCTTCTAACCGTTTTACCAGTGAATCATTGCAAAGGATGGCGCGCGAGAGGCCCAAAGTATCTGCTGTATTACTCGACATATTATCCACAATGCGATGCTTCAATTTCTTCAATATAATATCCAGCGATTTGCCCTGCTCCGGGTCGGCATGCAGCTTGTTGTAGTGTATGGTGACAGTTGTAGTGGCGGCTTGTATCATTTTAGCCACTTCCACCTTGGTTTTACCCTTCACACTGACCGAGTTGACTGCCAACAACTCATCGCCGCTTTGTAGAGAACCTTCACGCGCTGCAGGCGTGCCATCGAAGACCTTTCGGGAAATAAGGATTTGTGTATTAGTATTAAAGCTATTAAAAATTAACGGTTTTGATTCTAAGCTTACTTGTACGATGTATAGACAGGGACACATTGGTGCACCACCTCCAATGCTAATGCCTATCAAATTACTTTGGTCCTTGGTAATCACCACCGAATTGGTTGTCACAGTCATGCCCCTGTGTGCCGCAGTTGGGTAAGTAAAATAAATTTTTGTTTTATAATTTGAAGCATATTACAGTTACTCATGTAAAATGATGGTGATGAGATCCCTAAGGGCTAATTATGCTACAGTACATAAGATATGATTTTAATGAATTGGACATTTAGGAGGGTACAATACTCATCATACATACATACAAATGTATCTACATACACACTATTGCATGACATGTAAAATAAAAAGTGCTTAAAACAATAAAAGCCATAGATGACGAGGGTAGAAAAAATGGGTACATTATTTGCGCATGTATGTACTTAAATACTTAAGATCTGGGTAATCAAAGTAAACTATCTAAGTAATATAGCCAATTACTCGTAGGTACATACTACATATGTACATTAGGGTGGTAAAAAAAAAAATTGTATATTCCATGCTCACGAAAATTTGTGTTCCTTTTGCCAAAAAATTAAGGTCCATTATAAAGTCTAATGGTGATTTCGTTTCTACCAAAAAATGTCGCCTTTTTTATTGCCCTTTTCTCTTTTCGTGTTCGATTCTAAAATGAAGGCAAACGGCAAAATTTTTTGGAAGAAACGAAATCACCATAAGATTTTAAAATTTGGGGGAAAGTCCGTAAGGGTCATTCACATAATTTGAAAATGTTGAACTCATAGAATTTATCTATTTTCCCCCTTTTAATTTTTTAGCCTTTTTCTCTATTTTTACTTTTGATACTTATATTATAGTATGTACATAAGTATATGTATACATATATATTCGTCGGTATGAAAATATAGAGACGACTTATCCGCCGATAAGAGCGGGGTAGCTCCCTTTATGGATTGTGCAAAATTACTATGAGCTTCCAATATCACAAACGCCCATCCAGATCTTCACCGACGGCTTTTAACAGTTCAGACGGTATACCACTTGGTTTGGGACCTTGCTTCTCCAAAGTTGCATTTTTGTTACTCTCATCTGTTGTTGTTGTTATTGTAGCAGCAGTGCTCAACCTCCAAATATCCCGCCAGGTGATATCCTCAGCAACCCGGGGTCAAGAAAACGGTCAACGTCTTTGGGCGTGGTTCATAAAGCTTCTGTGTTCAGACGAGAGGGGTAGCTGTTGAGCCTGTGGCACAGCCCGGAGCAGAGCTGTGCTAGCACCTGGTCTCTTTGACAGTTCTGCTTCCTCAATATTAATGGGCGGCGGTCCACCACCAGGCACGACGTGTTCTTTACGGGTATTAAAGGCGGTCCCGATAGTATTTTACTTGGAACTGTTCGATAACAGAATGTTATGTTCTTTCACCACCACTATCTGGTTTTTGGGCATGGAGGTAATGCCAGCCTCTGTAGCCATTGTTGAGCTGCATTCTGGCACATCTGCAAATCTCTCCACTGTGTGTTACTCGTTTCTGGCGACCACATTGTCGCTGCGTAATTTGCCTCCACCGGTAGATTACTTTGTACGTTGTAGATAGGGTGTCTTTCTCGCCTCCCCACTGTACTGCCAGCTAGTGACTTGGGGACTTTGTTCCTGGCACGTAATTTATTGCAAATGGTATACGGCGAGAAAGAGAAAAGATTATCTAACGTGACTCCGGGATTTTGTCGTAGTGGATTTCGCTACAAAGATGTCGACATTTCTGACATTGGAAATGATCAGAGAGATAATCAAAAGCTGTCGATGTTTGATCCCGTTTGCAACTGGCAGCGGAGGGTGTTTGGCCCTGTAGAGATTAAACGGCAGGAACCATCTGCTTAATTCTACTTGGACTTGATGTTGCGAAATTTAACTGACTATTGACGTCCACGCAGATAATTGGTTATCCAAGGATTCGCCCGAACTTTAAGCGACGAGGTCTGACTGTCTTCGCAGAGACTAGAATCGTTCTATCTCAGGATCTACATTGAATCAGACCCACGCCTATCTGTAAGATGATGGCGCTTAAAGTTGTGATGGTGGTGTGCTTTACGGAATCCACAACATGGTCCTATACGATTATCCTGCGTCCACTTTCTTCTTAGTTTAAGAAGGGGAATGATCCCACTCAATGTTCACAGTTCAGGGTGATCAGGGTGGACAAAAATACGCTATATGCGGCCGTGATGTACTTGACTCCGTAAGTTCAAGTTTTTTAATATCCAGATAGAGATTTTGAACAGGGCTAACGCCTTAGAAGGCTTAGCGTTGCTGACATCGACAGGCTTCTAGCTTGATGTTAAGTACGATGATGTGTCTCGGGGTGCATATTTTGCTTGGGAAAGAGGCTTTACTGTTGACAACAGTCTGATAGCTCTGCTGGAGAGATTGCAGGACTAAAGATGCTCATTTCACTTGTTGCACTTTTATTATTAGACGAGAGCTCTATTATCCTTATTGAAATACTCACCGTGGGAATGCCCTGGATAAACCTGTCAGAATCGATCAGGTATATCAGCACAGACGAATCTTCGAATTCCTGCCAACGGGTATGAAGCGATCGACTGTTGCGTTTCTGATCTTGCGGATGTTGCGCGAACGATAGTCTTGGTACGGTTTTCGTAGAGGATAAAACCTCGCTACTGGTCTATGGTGACTAATATCTAGGGTAAGGTAGTATGATGCAAGTGTGAGCAGTGGTTGCTGTTCTCACCTCGTATTGGTCAATGGTTTAAGCGAGCTATTTTCGGCTTGTTTCATTGACTATCTACATAATATTATTTAACGTATGTATTTGCGATTGCGCATGGGAGAAAATAAAAGCTGGCGATAGATTACTGGATTATGCTGTGTATGTTTCTGTTCTTTAATAATTAACTTCCTTTAATAAAAAAAAATTGTAAATGTAAAAAATCAATTGTATTTGCACGCTTTAGGGAATTAACTTCTTTAGCTTATTTATTGATTTTCTTTAGGAGTTAAATTAAAAAAAAAAAAATAAACCAAACATAAAATTTAAAACAATCAAAACTAAAATACGTATTTCATTAGCAAGCAAAACTAATTTTCTTTATTTCTATAAGTACATTAAACCTATGGATTTAAGCTACATCTCTATATGCATATGTATGTACGTATATTAGACTCGCTCCACATATAAAAAACGAGCTTTATATCTACTACAGGAGCACTGCACGTACACGTATGTATGTATATAAGTAGAGTCTACCTAGTAGACAAGGACTAATAAGTACATATTTCCATTATAAAACTAGCCTACGACTTAAGTAAGCACTTCTTGGCCGTTTATTACAAGTAAAAACTTACAGCCGCTCTAACTCAAATTTCTGCCTATCGTAATCATTTGAACGATCACACAAAAAGGGTACAACAACACTTGTTTCCGCAATATCATCATCTGCAGATGCTGTCGCCTTCACTTCTTTGTCAACCACCAATTCAATATCAAAATCGAATGTGGCCTCATCTAAATTCAGTTCACTCTGCTCTTCTAATGGCTGCTGCTGTTCCGATATTGTAGAGCTTGGGGAAATGTATGATGTTTCATACAATTTGTTGTGTCAAGCGAGTGCTTTATTATGATTTGTACTTACTTATCGATAGGCAGTAGTGGCGCGATGGCAGAATCCAATTCAACGCTTTTACTATGTATGTATGTATGTACATCAAATGGTATTTTAATCATTGGAAATTTTAGAATTGTTTATAAAAATTTAAGTATTTGAAAATAACGAATTAAACGAACTCATAAACACACAGAGATTTAGAAATTTTGTTTAATTTAGAACGTAATATGTAAATAGGTTTCACAATATGCAATGGTATTGATTTATTACACAAACCATACAAATGTTTTAAAACAGACAGACATACTATGTATGCAATGAAATTTTCTTTGGGGAATGCGCTCTTTAACTTACATTTTATCCTCCTCGAAAAAGAAATCGTCATCTATGTCTGTAAGCATTTTTGCAGTTTGCAATTGCAGCCTTGATAACGAATAAAATATAAAATATTTTCACTTCCTGCAAATTTACTGCTAAGGTTTTGGCAAGCACAAAATCAGTGCATACTTTTTAGCAGACAAATAAAGAACGTCAATAATTGACATTTCCCAGTGTCATACCAAAACAGGGCAACTCAAGTTAAACGAGATTGAAAGTTTTTTATGCACGGGGTGCATTTCATGATAAATTTTTTTCGTTATTTCGTTATTCTGTTTTGCAGTTATTAAAACAAGGTTTGGTGATGCATTTCCGAACCTTCTTTTCATTTTGCTTTCTAATCGGGTTTCAAGTTTTTAATATTTCAAATTAGTTGAAATTTTGAGTACGCAGTTTTATAGCATTTTACATTTTAGGGGTGGGCTTTAGATGGGTAACTCCAGAGAACGGAATTAATTAAAATATGGTAGGTAGAGGGGGTCTAATAGTTGTCTATATGAAGATTCAAAGCCAGGAGCCTTATAGCTTTTAAGGAATTTGTTGTTAAAGTTTGTAAATTTAACAAACTTGTATGGCACTATTTCACAATATTTTAAAAACTGCTTGGCTTTCAGCTCCATAACGCTTCTGAAATGATTGCTGTATGAACACTTTCATATAGCTACAGCAATTTGAAAGCTTCACTCACCAGGGAACGGCTTCGCTAAGCTCGGCCACGCTTGCTGTGTGAACGTACCCTAATTTTTGTATTGCTAAAGACCAAGTACCCATAAAATCGCGCCATAAAATCAACTTTATATTTTTCCACTTGGCTGTTTTTGTTTTTATACCACCCACTTTTCGTAGTCTAAGAAATGTCAAAACAAAAACAGCTGTGTTTGTGTCATGCTTTTCAATTTACATTTTCCCCGTGTTTGTTAAATTTTTTATAAAAAAAATGTTGAATTTGTTAAATAAAACTAAAAATGTTTTAGTGCCGTCGCTGCGCGGCATTGCAATCCGTGCCACGCACGATGCCGCCAAGGAAGAACCAGAAGTAACGAAGCCGATAACAAAGCCTGTGGCACCGCTCATATTACCACAAAACTGGCCGCAATATGAACCTATGAACCAGTCGGCAACGCGACAAGCTTGGATTGAAAACATCGATGCAGTGGAGGAACGCAAATTGGGACTTATAGAATTACATCCCGACGTTTTCGCAGCCCAACCCCGCGTCGATGTCATACAAGAGAACATAGAATGGCAGCGTAAATATCGTTATGTAAGCTTTGCTCATACTAAAACGCGCGCAGAAGTACGTGGCGGTGGACGCAAACCTTGGCCACAAAAAGGTATGGGTCGTGCGCGACATGGTTCCATTCGCTCACCACTATTTCGTGGTGGTGGTGTTGCGCACGGTCCACGGTCACCTACCACACACTTCTATATGCTGCCATTCTATAAGCGGGTAATGGGATTGACGGCAACACTTAGCGTAAAATTGGCGCAAGATGATCTCCATGTAATTGATAGTGTTGAGATACCCACGCGTGATCCAAAGTTCATTAAGGAGTTGATAAAAGAGCGCAACTGGGGGCCATCCGTGCTAATTGTAGACAGGCATGAGGAACATTTCTAGTAATTTGATCATAGATAATTAAAATTTGGGTATAATTTCAGAGAGGACATTTTCCCGGAGAACATCTGCTATGCTACGGACGAACTGGGTTACGTGAATTTGATGCCTTCATATGGTCTCAACACATATTCGATGCTGAAACACGATACATTGGTGCTAACTGTGGAAGCCGTCAAACATATCGAAGAGCGCTTGTTATATCAACTTAATCGCACAGACGCGGCGGCGAAGGGTATCAAATTTAAATTGGATCAAGTTTAAATAGTTTCCTGCTGCTTCTCTTAGTTTTGCTGGACTTGATCTTTTTTCTTAAGGAATATACCATCGCTATCCAAGTAATTCAAAACATTGTACAAATCTGAATCATTAAAAGCAGTAATGAATTTTTACCATCGAATAAGCACTGGCTAATTAATTTGAAATGAAAATATGTATACTTGCCGTTAGCATCACGCATGCATACCTGAGTTGTCAAACACACCCTTTTTAATACACCTTGGTCCGTAGCCAAAGTTCGAGTTTTGATATTCTAAAGAGAAGTACGATTTTGATAAAATATAACAAATAAGTTTTCAAAAATGCTTACGCATGGAAAGGGCATATGGCCCGGCCCCATCATGCATATTGTCCATAATATGTGCTTGGCATCATATAACTACCCGGGCTAGACACACCTAGATTAGGATGTAGTTGCCGCCAATCGGATATTTCATTGGCATAGTTTGTTTATTTATTGATCTTTCTATTTTATATATAAATTTTTATAAAATATATGGCATAATTTATGTGAGACACATTGGAGTGTGTTGACATGAATGTAGCTATCCGTGAGACATCGTACTTCCCACGACAGTCGGGTCTACGTAACCGGAACGACCCAGATTTATATCTGGGCAAGGACTGTCACTCCAGCAACGCTCCCCAAAAAAAGGCGACTTGTCTCACACGGAATAGTAAGTCTCTGTCAGAGAACGTCACTATATTTTTCGACAGCCAGGCGGCATTGAAGCCGTTAGATTCCAAGACAGTAAAGCTCTATCCAGAATTGCAGCGGACGACGGTTAACAGCTGTCAAAATTAAAACTCACAAAGGCATATGGAATGGCTCATAATTGCGGCGGCGGCGTTTTTACCGCCGACGTTTTTCGGTTGATTTAAATTTATTTCTACTTTTACCGCCCAGAGGGGACGGCCAAATTTTGAGTGAGTGTTGATTGTAATAATTTTTATTATTTTCCTTACATTTTCATCGATTTTTTTTACTATATTTTATTTTATTTTTTTTCAAATCCAAATGACAAATCACAGAAGCCGTCGTGCATCGCAATTGTGTTTACTCTGACGGATTTCACTGCGGCAACTGTACGCTGTTCACTTACCGTCGACCGCTTTACCGTTGTCTGCTGTAATTCTGGGTAGAGCTTAAAGTCTAAAGTATTTCGGAAATGTCGTGCATCGCTCGGTTCACTGAGTCACGTTACAACCTCTCTCTGCTAGGTTACTGGACATAGCAATATGGAGGGGAAGGAAATAGCCGATGAGATGGCTAGACACGGGTCGGAAATGCAAATTAGCAAAGTGGATAACTCCCTACTACCAACAATTTCTGTTCTACTAAGGAGGGTTGTAATATACACCACACCCATAACTAATGACTATGAAACAATCAGGAGGACTGTGAAATCCTTATGGCTGGGACTCAACAAGAGTCGTACTGAAAAACTAAGCTCCCTCGGCAGAAGTTGTCGGGATGAGGAAGAAGATGAAGCTATTCACCGCTTCCTATGCCAATGTCCAGCTCTCCAGACAAGGCGTCTCAAGTATTTGGGAGCACGCTTTTTTAATGGTTTGGTGGTGGAACTAGTGGTGAGAAAGCTATTTCGCTACAGTCCATTTTACAAATTTTTCTCATATTTTTGTAAAACACTATACCCTTTGACTATCGAGGGGTCTAAGCGAGTCACTTTTGTTGCAGTTTTATTTAAAAAAAAAAATTAAGTTATTTAATATTCGCATGAAAGAAAAAAATACCCCTTAGTTATGAATAAATTGTGAGGAAATCTCACGAGTTGTTACATTTTTTGAATAAAACTTGTATTTGGTCGAAAATGGTGGCACACTTTCTTAGACAATGCATTATCTTGTGTTCTGCGTTAACAAGATTCCATTGCGAAATTTCTGTACATGAAAACCCAAAAAGGTTAACAAGGTAAAGGTAAAGGAAAAACAAATCCGACTTCAATTTCCATATACAAATTTAAGATTATCGTTAATTTCTTCATGATCCAATGATCGGATTTAAAAAAATTATTATGGTGACCCCCTGTGAGGTAACACCTATCCTTTAAAAAAGAAAGAATTATAAAAATCGGTTAACGTGGTCCAAAGTTATGCGGTAACATACATAAAAAAAAAATATTCCGATGAATTGATAACCTTCTCTTTTTTATGAAGTTGGTTAAAAAGTAAAAAATAAATCGTGCTCATATACCCGTAGTTGGGTGTTTAACGTATACGCCCCGTAGCACCATACACATTCAGCTACCACGTTTATACGCACGCCTGCGCACGCCTAAAGTAACCTTTGCAGAAACAAAATTGTAAATATCTTTTTGTTTCCTCTCTCTTGATTGAATTTTTCCTCGTTTCTATAAAAAACCAAGATACATTGCCTATATTTTACTGCAAGAAAAAACTCGTGTTAAAACATGTAAAAAATTATTTTAGGCCAGAAAAACAATTATTTACACCATAGTTAACGCGCGAAATTAAAAGTTACAAATATTCAATTTTTATTCAATCAAGTCAATCTGTTTTAAAAAAATCTATAAAAAATTAGTTTATAGCTAAAAAGCATAAAGTTTAGTTCGTTACTTAAGTTAGAGTTTACGATCATACAATATGTATGTATGTATTTATATATCTCTTGTCCCTTAAGTTCGTCATAGTCCATTAGTTGGGATCCATTAGGCGCGTACGTATAAGCCAACGTAAATCCGCATGTGAACTCTCGCCGGGAATTTGTTCGCGGAAATGATTCCATTCGCTCTGGTAGTAGTGATATAAGGCGACCGGATCTGTACTGAGCGGACGGCGGCGACGTGTAGTGGTGCAACGTCGTGGTACTACAAAGAAGAAGAAGAATTACAAGAATTGAAGGCGAAGCAAAGCATAGTTTTTTTCTACATAATTCTAAGGAAATCTTTTATTTGCTTACTTATAACTCCCACAGACCGAGCTGTGGCAGAGCTGCCAGCACTCGGGCTTCGTGCTGTTGCACCGCGTTCGTGATTTGGTTGCTTAGCGCGTGCGCGTCCATGACTTGCGTCTATTGCCACCGCGGCTTGTGTACGTTGCGAGCTGCCACCATCTCTTGCCGTTGCGCCGCTGGCCGCCTTGTTTCTTCCTGTTCTGACCTCATTTGAGCCTGTTGCCGGCTGAACTCTTTTCAGACTACGCTCTCTAACTAAAGCTCTTGTTTGCGATACTCTTGTCCTACCACGTTCTGCTGCTTCGTGTTGCGATCCACGTGATTCTGGGCACTCACCAAAAGCTATGCGATTATCTGATTGCCAAGCTTGCTCACGGCATAAATTCTCCAAATTGCGCGCATTTCTAGATGGCCCAGAGTGCGCTGGTTTATGTTGTTGGGATTGATGATTTTTGTTGCTGCTTCGCAATACGCCACCATCCTCTGTGGTGGCTCCAGAGCGCGAATTAGAATTACTGTGAGCAGTTTGAGTTTGTGGTCCTTTTTTCGTTATTGCTGCTCTGGAACCAGCTTGTTGGTGCTGGCCTAATTGGTTTAGCGGACGCAGCACATGTTGATCATGATTACGTGTATAGTTTTCCTTTACAACTCGTTCGCAACGTACATTTTCCTTTCCAACTTTGGCGCGAAAACTGGCAGTTGTGCGCTTGAAGAGGTTCTCAAAATAGTTGTTTTGATTAATGTTAATGCCAAGCGTTGCCTCATATTTGATTAGTTTGCGTAGATCTATGAGGGAGGATTAAAATAGACGTAAAAATTTAAGATAATTGAATTGAAGAAAATTTTATTTTAAATTAAAAAGCAATGCTTAAATTTTGAATTTTAAATTTTACCTGTATTAAATAGCGGAAGCGGAATACAGCATAGTTAAGTTACATACATAAGCAGGGCCGAAGACAATTTTAAGCGCAATTTTATGCACGAAAAACAACAAAAATTCAAGTACAGTTTAATGTTTTCTTTTTTATTCAACTTATTTCTAGTATTAAAAAATTACAATGGAGAATGAAGTGTTGCTCGACATTCTCAAATAATAGAGATCTGAACTGGCCGTTTTAATTTTTTTTTTTTAATATTCGTTATTCTCAATTTGACATAAATTATTTTTACTCTCTTCAATAGCGCCCAATGCCTTTCCGTAGAGACAAACCTTTGGTTTAAAATGTTTGTATCCAAGCAGAAATGCAATTGGAGTTACGAGTTAATAAAAACTTGTCCATAGGACCTACCTAATTATTTTTAAACTTTTAGTACATTATCTAAATTATTTATTAACTTTCTTTTCAACAAAATCGTTTAACTTAAATTCTTATTTTTACTTATTTTATTTTAAAATACTTTTGTTATAATGCTGACTACACACGAGGCAACCGTTGAAGCAACATGTTGAATCAACATGTTTTTCTTTTTCAATACACACGAGGCAACCGTAGAAGCGTATATTGCGGATAAAGCAGATGTAGACGTAGAATAAAATAAATGTGTACCATAACCTCGTCTTAAGGTAGATAGACTAAACTTTGAAGAAAATTACCACTATTGAGACAAAGAGTGGTCTAATGTGGTGATATCCGGTGAAAACATATTTAATTCGGATGGGCCGGATGGTTGCCACAAGTAGGTGGTACACTGAAGGTTTTGGTACACGTTTAATGCATTCTAAGTCTACATCCGCTTTACAAATTTGACCCACACGTCTAGTCGACGGATTTTAAATTTAGGATATTCACAAAGTTAGATGGTATGTTCGACTTAAAATTTGCAAAATGCATAGTTTCTGGAATATCCGTCGGTGATAAAGTGAATTTTCTCCCAGTACTTCGCTTCACTCCATAATTTTCTCGAAATTCTAAGCAATTTATAATTACCGTTTTACCTCGTAGTGTCACAAAAAAAATACAATAAAAAATAAATCAAATATTTGAGCAATTTTAGCCTTAAAACGTTTATTTAGGCAAAAAACTACCAAAATTACTCATTTTTCCATTGCCACCCAAAAAGATCCTAATTATTTTGCTATAACTTGGGGAAGTTTTCAAATAAAATGTTCATATTAGAGGCAATGAAAGTTGAAAATCGGATGAGATCTTTACGAATTCTTTTGAATTTTCTCTACAATTCAGAATACTCTGAAAAATAAGTTTTGCAAGGTAATATCGCTATAAAACACAGACTGATCATATGACAGTGTTCTCACATAACGAAATTTTTTTCCTATGAAAACTGTGTTCTTGGTGAAGTCTTAATACAGGTCTTATAATTATTTGGTGGAGTGTATTCAGACCGTCTGAAAAGTCTAGTTGGTGTGTCTAGGTTAAAGAAGGCTTATGCCGAAAATACTTTTAAAGAAGGTTGCCACCTATTTGAAAAATTTTAATAAAATTAGTTGATGAGATAAATTATATATTACAATATGGATATCAAACTAGAGGTTTAAGAGAGTTTACTGCAAAAAAAATGTATTTTTTACAAGGGATACACCCCGCTTGAAAATTTTAATTTAATTGATTAGATAAATATTACAATATGTGTATCAAATGAAAGGTATTTGCGAAATCTTTGATTTAGAAATATTTTCAACCGAGTTGGGAACTACATATAAAAGCGTTGAAATTAATGGCACTATTGTGTATGGCGACTGATAGCCGATATATGTACTGAAATTCGCATTACGTATGGCTACTGGCTACTAACTGTCGGCTACTGAGTCTAGTAGCTGAACTCTCTGTGGGAAGTGGTAAGGACCGCCAGGTGAAGGGCAAAACCTTACCAGCCACTTACACTTCACCCGGCTGTTCTTACCACCTCACTGACGAATCTCCCTTACTTTAACAAAGACGTGGCCGCCTTATATAAGTAGGAATTTAGAATGTACATTTGGTATCAGACATACTTCTGAGCCGCTTTACAAAGTAAGTTACGTGTAATGCAGAGCAGTCACTCGGAGTAGTTCGGTGCTTGGAAATAACTTCGGCTGCACGTTATTTTGCAACTGACAACGTCGTGAATGTGTCGTCGGAGGTGTTCATTTTGCGCTTTGACATTTTGCGTAGATGACATTGGCCATGATGAGAATTTTGGTACTAAAAACGGAAAGGAAAGACGGCTTACCTCGTAAGGTGCTTACCTATTTTCCCAGTGGGAGCTTTATAAAGTAAGATTTTCATACAAAAATTTTATTCATTTTCTGAATTTGGGTGTTAGTTAATATTGTTTTAAAGCTCAAATCCAATTTGTTTGTAATTTCAAAAAAAATCTGCTTACTTTATAAACACTTTTAAAATAATATTTATTAAGATTTTTGGATGTAGTGAGTGTGAGTAACAACACAAAAATACACGTTCGTCGCGTTTTTTGCAGATTTCACCAGAATCGGAAATGTGTATGCTGTTACAACAACAAAAACATCATTGGGTAACTGAATTTTACTTACTTTTCAAAACTTTCGTAAAGTAAAAATAGTCAATTTTGTATATATTTTTTTAAATTAAATTATAACTTTCGACATTTTTTTATTTGTTAACTTAAACATTTAGCAGTAGTTTGGTTTTATCAGCTTATCATTGTCTTCAACGTACTTGTACATACATACATACTTAAGAAGTAATGACACAGGTTGCATGATTGTGAAATTGAATAATCAACTTTTGTATCTACATATATGTATATACGAAATGTTGCTGGCGTATGAAAAAAAAGATACATATTTACTTTAAATTACATACATATCGCCGGATTATGATAGCAATATAATTTAAGTGTTTTTTGTATTTAAAGTTAAGTTCATTTATATTTTTATTTTTATTTTTTATTTTTGTTTTACAGAACATATGAAAATTAGATTTGTTTCGCTTATTTCAGCAACACATACATACATATGCATTTTGCATTCTTTATTTTATTTATTAAATATATACGATTACAACAATACGCTACTTAAACGCTACACTTTACATTACATTTTTATGCGTAGAAAAAAAAAATTAAAAGAAAAAAATATATAAAAAAAATCAACAAAAACCATTTTTAATTTCAGCGGCTTTTTCTTTATGGAAACTTAAACGTTCATAAGCTGAGGATTTACGTAATTCATTTAGGCTAACATTACACACAAAAATAAAAGTAAACGCTAACTTTTCTACATCATACTGTACAATGTGGATCGTGGGCTAGTGCGTGGGCAGCTGAAAGTTTGCAGTACTTAGTTTAAATTGTTTCAGTTATCTTTTGATGTTTTTTTTTTAATGAACTTATTACAAAATGTAATTTGTAGGTATTGTAATTTTAGACAGAGTAGAATTACATACTTCCTTCTTTGCCACATCTCGTCTACATATTAAAAAAAAGCCTTTTTACATTTTGTGTTGGTCGATTTTCTTTAAGATTTTTACTTAAAACATAAAGGTTGCATAACAATTTACAAGTACAAAATACAAATAGATGCTTGTTTACTTTAGTACCCCTTGTGAGAGCGATTTTTCATTCCATTTTTATTAAGTTAGTCCGTATAATATATGTAAGTTTTTTTTATATTTTTTTTTTAGTGAAATATGTAACCACAGGGCTGCGGCGTTTGTACACGCAGCAATTCCTCCTCCTCTCTGACTACCCGCTGCTCGCCTATGGTGTAACATGACTGGCACCGCTTAACGGTCATTGATGTAGACGTATCACCTGTGTCATTCTATCTGCGGTACCGATAGCGGCGGAACGGCGCACGTAGCCGCCTACATGTCACCCGGACTTCCTTCTTTAGAAATTGTGATATCGCTAGAGATTTGACAGCGGCTGTTGCGGCCTCTGCCGCGCAGGTGCTTGATGTGGCATTATTTGGCGCATATTTGGATAAGTCGAATTTGCGTTTAGGCGTTTGATGATTTGCGCATTGATCCTGATGATGATGATGCTGATGATGATGATGGAGGTGGTTGTGGTGTAGATGCTCATCGTCGCATTTATGCTGTGAATTGCTCATATCCAAATCGGTATCCAGTCCATCTGATGATACTGTGAAAATATCCGAATTATCGCCGGCTTTTTCGCTAGGACTTATGCAACTACCCAGGCTGCCATTGAGCAACTGCGGTGTACGTCGCAAGCTGCCACGCAACATTTGCGTTGACGGTGTGGATGTGGCTCCAGTGTTGTTCGAGTTGGCGCTGTGCGCTGTTAAAGAGTTCGGCGTCACGTGCTTTTCCTCGAGCGGACTTGCGTTGGTGCGAAGACGTGTCCGCTTGCGCGCGGGCACGAAATTGCTGTCATCATCCATAATATTGTCGTCATCTTCGCCTGCTGTGACAACAGCATCCCCGTCTATTTCGCCATCTAGTTCGTCTTCTTCATCAGCCTCTAACGCGGCATCTGCGTCGCCCTCAACTGGTGGCACTTCTTCCTCTTCCTCGATTGAATCAGCCATCGTTTCGCCGTCATCTTCTACATCATCATCGTCGTCGTCGTCGTCATCGTCCTCTCCATCCTCCTCCTCCTCTGGTATACTCTCGCCTGCATCCAATTCTGTGTCGTCGTCTGCTTCTCCGCTTCCACCCTCCTCATCGTCGTTATTCTGCATTGTGCGTTTCCCATACAATTTGACTTCTGCATCACTTTCTGGTGGTGTAATAACTCCATTTCCACGCCGCCGTTGTGCATCTTTGCAACGTACTGCGGAGCTATCTGCTTGATCCTCGGCGCCTTCTTTACATTCCCTTGCCGCGACAGGCTCTTCTTTAATGCCGTTGGTTGCCAATTCGCCAATATCCTGCAGAAACCGTATTTTTTGTGCCAGCTTTTGTTGTTGGCGCGCTGAACTCTTCTTCTTTTGTACTTTCGGCCAACCAGTGCGGTTAGATTTAAGATTCTTCCTCTTGCGGAAATAATTTTGCATCGCTAGCGAGCTATACAGCGAGAAACTGGCGCCACTTTTGCGCTTGTTGCTCACATCTGCCGTTTGTTCGTCTTCAGACGCGTTGGCGCCCGTCGTATTCGTAAACAAGTCGTATAGATCAAAGTCGCTGGAGAAACAGTCGGTGGGTGGTGGCGTATTCGAGTCGAAAGCTGCTGTTGAAGCACTTACATTTCGTTTGGCGTCCGCAATCACGGAGCTAACGCGATGTGAAGCCCTACTCGTAGAAGCTGAAGTCGAAGACGTTAGGCTATTGTTGTTCTTTGTCGTTGACGCGGTTGCTGTCGCTGCGAGTGGCACAGTTTCACTTCCCTCACGAATGGCCAAAGGTAAATCTTCCGCTAAATCATACTCCCTGCCATGCAGTTGAAGATACTTATCAATCTGCCACTCCAGCAGTCGCATATTAGTATGTTTCGTCGCGGCATCAAGTGCCTTCATCGCCGTCGTATCCACTTCGAACTCCAGCACGCCCTTCTTCGAACCAGTCTTTCGTATGGATGGTAAAGCTGAGCCTTGCGCCATCAGTCCACTGTAAGAGTGATGCCGGCGAGCACCAGGCACCGTTGACGCAAAGCCAGCGACATGTTTTACGCGCCTATGACGCTTTGCTGGCGCTGTCGCGGCCGCCAACACACTGGGTGTTTGGCTCCTTCTGTTGGTGGTGCGGCCAGTTGTGTGCAGGAACTTTTGCAAGCCATAATAGCTACGCGGCGGTCTGCCCAGTGGCGATTTGACTGGCTGGCGGCCGCCCCGCATGCTCTTTCGTGATTTTGGCGCTACTGGCGGCGAGTGGTCATATTTGTTTTGGCCGCGACGCATGCGCTTAACATTCTCAGAGATTTCCGTTGTAAAACGTAATTCTTCGACGGGTGTGGCAGCTGCTGAACGCGTATGTCGCAAAACTGCTGGCAAATCAGCACTCGTCGTTGACGCTTTTAGACTTTCTCCTGGATCTGCTGCCGTCGTTGCTGCTGTCGGAGTGGCTTGCTTTTCTGTCGTAGCTGTTGTTGAATTTATGGCGATTGTCGTGGTCCCCGCTGTTTCAGCAACAGACAATGGCGTATGCGTGGGAGTTGTGGACGGCTCGTCGGTTTCTGAATTTGGTTTACTTTGCGAATCTTGCCGCTGCTTTATAATACAGCTAACCAAGGCAAGCGTTGAAGCATGTTCGCGTGGTGATTTTCGCGGCGGAAGCTCTAAATTCAGGAAAGCGGCAGCGGCTTTGTTCAGATGCTTGTTGAGGTATCTGTTCTTGCTAGTTTTAGTTGTGGCCGTGCTGCTGGCACAACTCGTACTGCTCGTTGTGCTATGTGTCGAGCCGGCGCGCTGTCGATCGCGTGTTGGCTCTTGAGCTGGTGTACTGGCTTTACTATCACATTGCAATTGGTTGGAGCTATCGCCCAGCTGGGCGCTGGCTTGGGCGGCTTGTCGCTTCTGCAATTCCTGCTGCTCCTGGCGGTAACGTTGCAAAATCTGCAGCTTTTTGTGTTTATGCTTGTACTGCATTGCGGCAGAGGCGGCGCTGGAATGCGTTGTAGCTTCCTCCGACTGCACATCGCCGGCACTTTGGTTAGCACTTGTGCCCACAGCATTTGCGATATTGTTCGAATTTCCGCTGCTGGAGTCCCTCGATTTGGTAGCCCCCGCCTGTGACTCCTCAAATGGTTCTGTTTTTACTTTGCATGCATTTTGTGCTTTTGAAAAGCCCTTTGTTACATTCTTTGATGAAATATCGGCGCTCCTTTGCTTTTCGCATAGCTTACAGCACACACCGGTGTCTATGGTGCTCACAAATGGTATTGGCCCCAGTTCATATGGCAACTTGCGATAGTTCGTTGAACCATAATATTCGAAAAAACGTTCCGAACAGCTATCTTGCCGCGTGAAAACGTTATACCAAATATCGGACACAGGTATGCGTTCAAAGGAGTATCTCATGCGCTTTATTTTTTCGCTGCTAGCGTAATCAAAGCTTGCTAGGGTTGTGGACCTTTGCCTCGGGGGTGATGTAGTTGGAGTAACACAGGCTGCTACTGAAAGTTTGCTACTTTTACTGTTGTTGGCAGGGGCAGTAATAATCAGCTGTTTCGCATTTGTTTGCACCTCGTTGCACTTTTTTCGCTTACCTCCTTTGCCTGTATCTTCCGTGCTCTTAATTGCCGAGTTATCGCTACACTCCTTACTAGCTAACATAGCCAGCTTGGCTTTTTGTTCTTCACGTTGTGCAGCCCGTTGTTTTCGCGAGACGGCACCCCTGCGACCACTCTGCCAAATGGCTGAAAAGCTTTCAAACGAAACGGATTTGCGCCGGCTGCTCTTGCAATGTACATAGTCTTCATCCTTCTCGTCATCATTATCAACCTCTTCATCATCATCGTCGTCGTCGTCTTCATCATCGTCATCCAAATTCACACAGAAATTCTTCCCTAAACCTGCGTCGCCATCAACCGCCGTCTTCTCTTTATTGACGCAAGTACTTCCATCATCGTCTTCTCCACCTTTCTTATCCTTACTTCCGCTCTCAAAATTTTTCACATCTCTACATTTTTTATCATTTCCAGCATCCCCCATCCGATCCTCCATTTTTACAACTGCCACACGTTTACGGCCCTGCTGCCTCGGTGCTGCTATTGCTGCCGTCGGCAAGAGCTTTGCCGTCACTTCGTTGGCATACGACTTTTTGCTTGTATTTCCCAATAACTCATTGGCCGCTGCCATTTGTCGACAGTTATGCTTTGCTGCTTCCACGGCTGCTCGTAGCAATCGACTGCTTGTGGTTGCTGCCGTCACAATAGCGGTGGCGGTGCGGCTGCTTTTGCGTGTTGCCTCGGGTAATGTAATAGCGGCTAGTGCAGCTGCAGCGGCGTTTGCCTTGGCGGCTGCTGCTGACATAGCATACCTCGTTGTGTCGGTGACGTTACCTATTGTCGGCTTCGTAGACGCATAATTGCGTGATACTTGCTTGGCCTTTAGTTGTATCTCTGGCTGGATGGGGGCGTTTCGAAAGCGCTGCTTAGAGGCAGCGGTCGTCTGGCTTTTTCGTCGCTTTGCAGTGACAGTTGCGCGCTTTGCCGCATGTTTTCCCTCTGCCGATTTGCCATCATCATTTGCTGTGGTTGCAGATAACTCTACATCCATAGGACCATCGCTGGTGCTATCTAGGCTTATTGATGAGAAACTAGCGCGCGCATTGTCGGATGTGGTTTGGCGGTCGACATCGGTGGGCAGTTCACTAGATGTGCGCTGCTTAGGGAACATAAAACTCTCGGCTTCGCCATTCAATCGATGCAGTTCGGTTGCACGTACTTTCTTGAATTTTACAATGAGCGAAGGCGATGCAGTCACAGCTTGGTCACCACCAGAGGGTAGGTCACCGCGTGGCTTACGTACGGGTGTACACACCGTGTCCGGTGTGCCCACAACTTTATACAACGAGGAAGGCGGCAGCATAGCGCGTATAGGCGGTGAGACCGCAGCCGCCGACGTCGGTTTTCGGCGTGTTGGCGCTGTCGCAGAAGCCGCCGCCACTGCCGGCGCAGTGGTGATCGGAGTGGGCTTTGTTGCACTTGTTGCTGTCGCCGTTGTGCAAGTCTCAATGCGTTGCAGCTCCAACATGCTGGATGTTGTGGTAGTGGTGAGTGCCAATTGCTGTTTTAGTGGACTTGTTTGTGACTTCACTGCTGTTGCTGTGGCCTTAGGCGACTTAGAAAGACGTAGGTTTTGGAACTTTTCCGACGAATGCTTGCCCTTCGTGCTGCGTTTCGATTTCTCGCGTAGAGTAGGTGAAGGTGTCTGTATCACGCCACGTGACATTCGGCGTTTATCTTCCATAAGCTCCAACACTTCCGGCACACACATCAATGGCTCTGAACCTTCAAGTGGATCGGGCTCATTTTCATCCGCAACTACCTCGATATTTTCAACTTCCATCTCTTCTAAATCAATCTTTTTATCCTCGTTGAGAAATTTGCTCACGTCGGCTGAGGTGTGTATGAGCGAGTCCAAGGCAATAAAGTTTTGCGAATTCTTGGCAAAATATTCGTGATCTTTTGTTTTCAGATGAATGGTAAGTGTATCGTATTCGATTTTACAGATCTCACAGACGCCGCATTGCTTCTCGCTGGACTCTTTTACTTGCTTACAGCCGGCTGTTACAGCGCCCGCAGCGGCACCAGCGTGCGAATTACGTTGACTGCTTTTCACTGTCGCAGCCGAATCTGCCGCGCCCGCACCACCACCACCAACACCACCTTTTCTCAACGTCTGCACGGCAGCGGGCACCGGCCTTTGATGCTGGGATGAGCGTGAACGAGATTTCCGTGTCATTTTCTGTTCTTCGTTACCTCTACCTTTTGCTTTTTCCTTTACTCTCTCCTGAGTGTCTGCTGTGACTTCTGCGCTTGGTGCGATTTTCTTTTTCGGCGAAAGTCGAAAGGCGCCGTCCTCACGTGTTAGTTCTATTTTCGGCCACTCAGTGCCGGAAGATTTTCGAAACAGTTGGTAATAGGGGCGGTAATTGCGTTTGATCGCTTCGATTTTTATGAATCCACCTCCTTTAAGATCTATGGGATTGACTGAGTTGCGACCTTTACCCAATAACTTCTGTTGATCGTGGCGTGAATGTACACCCAAGTAATCCTTCAACTCGTGCTGCACCTTCTTGAAGAAGTGCAAAGCGTATTCCGTTTGCCAAACAATATAAGGACTCTGCGTTGAGATAACTGGCGACTGTTTGCCGACGTCTTTTAAACTTACTGCTGGTGCTGCTGGTGAATTTGGCGGCTCGTTACCGCTAACAACATTAACATTGATTGCGTTGGTGGTGCTGGCGCGACGTACACGATTTAAAATCGCATTGGCACGCGTTTGGCGTGTATTGATTTTTCTGGTTGATCCAGTCGGAGTATTACTACCAACACAAGCATTATTTTTACCATCCTGCGTATCGAATGTGTATGGAGTTTGTGGCGTATTTGGTGTGCCTGGTGTTTGGGGTGTACCAGGACGGCTGCTAAGCGAATTATTATTATTGTTGTTGTTATTATTATTATTATTATTGTTGCTATTATTGGCAACAATCGGTGGTAATATCGCCTTATCGGTAATGAAATGTGTAACACTTGATGTTAGAAAAAATTCGAGTGCACCGCCAAGTGTGCGTATCTGCTCCTCAATTCGTTTGGTAAGCTGATGATCGCAAATGTCCAAATAGAATTTGAAATGGCACAATGGTTTCTTGCATTTAATTACTTTGACAGTAGCGCGACGTTGCGGCACAGGCGGAGATTTGCCGAGACCGGCAACGGCTGCTTCAGTTCCTTCTGCTGTTGTGGCTTTTGTTGTTACACTTGGAGTCGATTGTAGCGATTGTTGGCGCTGTTGCTGATGCTGCTGACGGTGCTGCTCACGACTTTGGGATTGCTGTTGCTGTTGCTGTCGTTGTTGCTGCTGTTGCTGACTGATGCTAATTTTTTCTTTGAGTTTGCTTTTGTATATTTCCGATTGTGATTGCATACCTTTAGGTGCAGATTAACTGTTCGTCATTTATGCACAATTTTAAACGAATTTTGTTGTTTGAAACCGAGTTGTGTTGTTATCGTTGTTGCAGCGGCAGGGTAGATTAAGCATATGAACGATTGGCGCACACACCAAGAAGTAGAAGAATAAAACAGATAAAAAAAGTGGTTTTGAATTTCAAGGAATTTTATTTCGAGCTTAGAAAGTTTAGCTTATTTAATTTAAATTTTAGTCTAAGCGTACGTATAAAACATCAGAGAGCAAGATGCAAAGGTTAAATGAACAATGGTTGAATGAATAAATAAAATAAAGCATTGGCTGGATTTGCCAGGAAAGCAAATAATGAAGTTGTGTATCTAGGAGTACGGTAAATAATGAACTTAAAGAAAAAATCAGAATTATGTGTATGCACTTTAGGGTGTCCCATTTTTTTTTTTTTTGCGAAAATATGCGTACCATCATTTATACTTTTCGTTTTGATCTAAAGATTTGCGTGCCTCCGCTTAATAAGAATGTGATTCGATCCCAGGGTGCAGCAACATGCAAAAATTATAGAAAACGCATACATATTTTTACTACAGCTCAAACCTAAGCGTTTGTCTTCCGGCGTAAAATCGTAGGCGTCTCTATTTGTGTGGCTTGCGGAGGCAGATTAAACATTTGAGAAGCTCGACCAAACAGTGAACAAAACATTCATACTCGAAACATGTAATTTTTAGAAAAAAAAAAATACAACCGACATCAATGCTCATATAAAAATTTATGCATACCGTTAAAGTCTGTATGATCCAATGATCAGAACTAAACCCAATTAGTATGGGACCATCCTTGAGGTACCATGTGGTCCAAAGTTATACGACAACGTACATGCCCTTATTTCTGAAATACTCTAATTCACATACCCTAATAGACAAAAAATTATAGATATTGAAAATTTATTATATTTAAAATCGTAAGCGCACGCCCGGAAAAGCCCCCAAATAAAAGAGGATTTTTAAAATTGGTGCGGGTCGGCCCCATTGTCGATACATCGAAATATAAAATAGGTGAAAATATGTATGTATGTATATATTTATGTATGAATAACTAATTTAACAAAGCTTACGCTACCAAACCCTTTTGATGTCCTAAAAGGGAGGAAAACCGCAATATGCATTTTCTATAAGCTTTGTAGAGAATTTAATGCAATAATCATATGTATCTACAACATAATACACCACATGAACATATGAAGTTCATACATATGTATGTATATACACTCATATGGTCATAATAATAGGTACAATATTCAATAGAATATTGTTTGCAATTTATGTTTATTTATTGGTTTTTAATAGCTTTAATTAAAAAAGTTGTTACAACCACAATAGAAACCACTTGAACAAAAGTTTCAAAGTTTGCAGAAAATTTACAAAAATTAATCAAACTTCCAAAAATTTTCATCAAAATTTCAAACTTTTTATTCAGAATTTTTTAAAGTATGAACCAAATATGTATATTTTTGCATGGAGGAAAATGCGCCACATCCTCGACCAAAAAATCTAAAAAATCAGCGGTAATTTTTATTATACTAAATTTGAATGGGCTACAAATCTGCATACCCCAAAACTTTTCAAAAATTCTGAATAAAAAGTTTGGAATTTTGATGAACATTTTATGCAGCTTAAATAATTTGTGTGAACTTTGTGCAAACTTTCACTTATGTGGTTTCTGTTGTGGACCGAACTATTTTTTTAAATGAAAATTATTAAAAATAAATAAATGAACATAAATTGCAACCAATAACATTGTACCTATTAGTATGACCATGAGTGTATGTATTTAGTCAATGCACTTGCATTCACACATACAATTATCAAATGTAAGCATTAATGCAATTAAATGAACATACACATGTACAGTATGCGAAATCCACTTTCGTACACCTCACATCATATCACAACAATTTTGCTCTTTGCACCTATTTATGGAAAAGTTAAATAATTATTTACGTAGTTAAGAGTACATATGTACATATCAATGTTTTACAGGAGTGTATAGTATACCTGAACTACATTGAGTTATTGTAAACTAGACTTAAGGCGTTTTGGGTTTATAAAAGATATGAGTATAGTTTTTAAGGCATGATCGCTCAATAATAAAGGAACATTTATAGCGGCAGGCGCTAAAAGTGTTGTTTATTTTAACATATTTATTTTAAAATTATAAAAATTCTGCAAATTTTTACTAACCAAATTTTTCTGAATTTTATTAAGTGAGTATAGCCCATTAAATTGTAATATAATAAAGTGCAAGTGTGAAGTTACTAAAAAAAACGCGTTGACTTTTGGCCAAACAAAGTTTGTATGTACATATGTTCGACAATTTTTTTGTTTGTATGCAAGAAAATAATAACAAAATCAGTAAAAAAAAACAAAATTATCAAAAATAAACACGAATTTTTTGCCACTTGAAACTAGCATTTTATTAAGCTAGTATTTAATGGCCTTTAAAACTGCGTTCTTAGAAATTTTCTAAACATTCTTAATAAAAAGTTTGTTGTTGTAAATTTTTTTTTAATTTTTCTGCAAAGTCGGTATTTTGTCAGATATGGGCAGAAGTTTTATAAAAAAAAGTAAGAAACATTAAAAAAAAACAAAAGAAAAATTGCTAAATCTGGTCAAAATGTCGTGTCTCTATTATTTTTCACATGACTGTACTTACAGTGACTCAAACAAGAAACAACGTGTTGGTTTTTTTTTTTAATTCACAATGTTTTTCAAGTAAAACTGTTTTGCTATTTTTCTATAAAAAGGTTTACTATGCTTTAACCAAAATCAAATACCGCAGACCGTGTCAGCTGACACGATCTATCTAAAAGCATAAACAGACGGCAGCGTTGATCCGGATCGACTCGGGAATTAACTGCAGTTTATCCGGATTAAGTCCGAGTTAATCCGGATCAACGCTGCCGCTGTCTGTTTAAGCTTTTATGGAATTCTCGTGTTGACGAAAACTCACCACCGCATAACGGTGACGTTGTTGTTGCTTCTCTCTCGCTCTATCAACAGCAATTGCATATGTTGATACGGAGGCAGGTACGGAAAGGCGCTCCGTGGGTGGCTGGTTGAGCTTTAATATAGAAAGGTCCTATCTCACTATGATGCAATAATACAAAGGTGTTATCGGCTGGCAACTTCTCACTCTAGTTCCGCCATATTGACTGCCTTAGGTGAAATCGTGTTATTACTTTAGAAATTCTTTGTCTAATAATATAGTTGAATGTTTTTTTTTTTCTCAGTGTACACATTTTGTTGTCTTAAAAAGGTATTTAATCTTATTTTATTTCATTTCATTACGAAGATACTATAAAAAAGCTAATTTTGTTTAGAAGAAAATAAGAAATTATATATTTTTCCTTCCCCCAAATGGGGATTAATTTCTTCCCGTTTTTCTTGTTATTCTACTGAGCTAAGGCAGTATCAAATCGAGCTGTCACAACTGATACCAGCTTGTATTATTGCATCATGCTATCTCACATGGTTGCTGAAATGGAAAAAAACCCGAAACTAACTAAAAATTTCAATCCCGTTCCCGCCCATCCCGAATTTTAAGCTCCGAACGTTTTTCAGAATTGTATGCGGGTCCCGACCTCTATCACTGAATTTAACTCGCATGACTTCAAAATCAATTTTAAGTAATAAAAAATTTGACATTTTCGTACTATTATTATTTTTTGTTGCTTTGCTGTTCGTTTTCATGTCAATAAAGATAAAAAAGTGCTGATTTCATAAAAAGTATTTAAGGAAGATTTTCTGCATTTGCGGGTTTTATCGGGAGTGTCGGGAAAGGATTTTGGTCCCGTTCCGCCCGCAAAATTTTTAAATACCTTCCCTATAACGCCTATCCCGGCCATTCTGAAATCAGTAGCGTGGTTTCCGCGTGTCCCAATATCCGGCACCCATCTCTAGTTTGGATTATGTACAGTATCGGTCATATCTATAGCACGACGATTTTTAAAAATTTTCAATTAAAACATAGTTCATTCTCAGACAAACCCGATACAAACCCAAGCTTAATAGTTTGTAGAAAACTACAAAAAAGTGCAACAAATTTTCACATAAATTTCAAACTTTTTTCTCGTAAGTGTTAGAATTTTTTTGAGTACACAGTTTTTTAGGCCCTTCAATTTTAGTCTGATAATGTGCAAATTTGAAGTGACTACGAATTACCGTTCATTTTTTTAATTTTTTTTTTGTCGCATTGGCTTCCATATAATGAATAAATTCAATTTATTTGTATATGGAAGAAATCCGCACCCCTTTTGGCGAAAAAAATTCTAAAAAATCAACGGTAGCTTTTAGCCACTTGAAACACACAGTCTGGCTGGCTGGGTTAAGCCGAGTTTAAACTATCAAAATATTAAAATTGTAGGCGAAATACATGAAAACAGACCCATTTGTATAGCGGTACAATCATACATAGATATAAATAAGCGAAATATTCATACGTAAGATTAAAATTATGCACAAGACAATTAACAAACGCAATTTGAGCTGCGAGTTTACTTGCATAGGGCAATTTGGTCGGGCCGGGCAACTCATGAAGCACCTAACAAATTCGCGATCATATCAAAGTGAAACAAAATAATTATAGTTTAAAAAACAAAAACCTCCCTATTATAATTGCTGCATCTTTTAGGCGCATCAATATTAGATAGTTACATCCCGAGCTAATAAAAGGAAGGTAATAAAAATAGCCGACGTTTTATATCTGCTTAAAGAAAAAACTGTGTTGCAATTCAAAACAGCTAAACTACGAAGCGGTTTTAAACTCGCACTGAAAAACTGGTCAGTAGTTTAAACTGAGTTTAACTAAACTTCGTTTAAACTGGGTTTAAACCAGCACTGAAAAACTAGCCCTCAATCTATTGAACAAATCGCTATTTAGGCATAAACTACTCAAACGCATGAAAAGTATATTATTTATTTGATATTTATTTATTTATTGCATCGCAGCATTACGTGGCTAACGAAATAAAAATTAAAAACATTGTTTGCGAGCAGCGGAACGGGAACATAACAAAATGCAAACACCAGAAAACATATGCAGATAAGAAAATTACCGATAAAGGCAGGTGCAATGAAATAATTATATTGAAAAGAACCAATACAAATACATACAAATCACAAAGCATAAACAATTTGCCATAAACGGCAGCGAATATATCATCAGCTAATTTGGAATATTTTTTTCTATTGACCTAGCAGTATTTTTTCCATAATTCCACAACATTTCGTCAGTAGATTTGTATTGCTGTGGCGTTTTTTTGCTTACGTCAATTTTTAAAAGAGTAGATCCATATGCATAGTGGAACTAAAATTAACGTACAATTTTATTACGGCATACCTTCTTCCTTTGTGTTTCGGCTGTACAACAAAGCTGTGAGATGTGACACAGGTAACATTTGCGCGCACTTAAGGAGCAACTTTACCACTTCAGAACTCATAGCGATTACCTACTCATCCAGTTCCTTTTAATTTCGTTTAAACTGCTCATGTGTCGATTGGATTGCGACAACACCGCAGCTGTCGTTTCAATACGAAGCCGGTATTTCTTCGTCTGTGTATGAATTTTATTGTTAGACGACTTGTTTATTTCTTCGTTTGCTCTTTACTCCAACAAGAAAGTTTTATTCATCCTTCCTGGAAATGTTTCATCATTTCATATACTGAATGTGCCTTTTTTCCTTGTACTATGTGTGCAAGCCGATGTACGAATATACTATGTACATATGACTGTGTATTAATATGTAATTCAGAACACTTCTACACAGATGTTGGAGAACATAAAAACACGGCATCCATCCACCTTCCTTCTGCATTTTCCCTTCTACTCTTCGTGCTTTATGCTTATTGTGCATAGATGTACATATGTACATGCTATGTACAGACATGCATATAATCAGTATATGCACAGATGAACGAGAACTACCCCACAATCCCGTAGTTGTGTACATATTTATTTCTGTACATTGTGTATTTTCAAAGGGCAAATACCCAACAACGTATCAGCCCAAAAACTCAGTCAATAAACATTCATTTCGCTAGTTTGGTTTCAATTCTTTTCAGCAAGGCGATCATATAGCAAACACAAAATTATCTTTAGCGATAACATGAGTGATTTCCATGATAACAGGCAACATATTTTTTTCCAAAATTAAAATGTATTCTAAATCTATTCAGTAAAATAACTGCTTTTAGCAACGCCTTTTCCTTATAAAGATCCAGCGATGGACCACGAAATGCTTTTAATTTTATTTAGACGCATAATTTGTGTAAAAAAAGCTTTGGCACACGGTTTTACCGGCAAAACCTGTAGTAGTTTGAAGCTTATTTCTTATTGAATAAATTAAGAAATCTACTTTATACAAGAGAAACGAAGAAATCTTTCTATGGAGCAAGGGGCCCAAAACGTGGTGTTGAAAGTAGAATAGGTCTCAAAAGAGAACGTCAAAAAGTGTAAGCAAACAGCAAATATAGCGTAGTCCAAAAAAATAAAATGAAATGCTGCCTACCTATGTAAATGCATAAACTTAAGCTTAAAATAATAACTTATTAAATGTATATTACATTTAGTCGCAACCGAATTCCTTTAAAAATTATATAAAAATTGCTCTAAAATAAACGTAAATTAATGTGGAAATACAAAAGTAACACACCACTGCCGAACGATAACACCACATTTCAACACAACAATAAAAGAAGGTGGAAAATAAAGAATTGTCAAAAAGCAGTCGCGATGGAACGAAACGGCAAAAACAGTTGTAAAAAAAAACCATTAAATAATTGATATAACAAAAAGTAAGCATACATTGGTAAAGGCAAATAAGTAGACAAAGTTAGCAGCCGTACAGGCAAGAAATAGCGGCGATGTGGCCTACAAAACAAATGAATTTCATTTTGGTGGAGGCTTATGGTATTGCCTCGCCGCCCCGCATTCTGGTTCCATAGTAGTGCAGATATCGCTGCTGTGGTCGTCGCCATTGCCATCCCAACACAAATACCGGACTCGGTAACACACAGCCAGCACTTTTCTACAACTAATCGCAGCTACAGTTTGTTGCTATTGCTTTTACTTATGCCTTTGCCAGCACTCCCGGCCTGTGGTACCGCGGGTCGTCGTCGTCGTCGTTTGGTCGTTTGCTCTGTCTGTCGACTAGTACATACCATGTGCATATGTACATACAATTCATGTTTGTTTTGCATTTTAGATGTATGTACTTATATGCTCGATTTTCTACTCGCTGCCTGTTATGCACAATATCTGTTCGCTTCGTAGTCATACCACAAAGTTACATATGCGTATACATGTATTTTTACTTGAAAAACGTAATAAAATGCATTTAGAAACTGAAATCGACCTAAGGACAGAGCCACCGGGTACATGGGATTTTGTTAGAGTACTCATGGGAAGAGCTGACGACTAAGACCATGGCAACAATAAAAAGCTTTGGATACACAGGCATATATACATAAATAAATTGTTGAATGAAACATAAAGCGATTTTCAACATTTTTAGAAGAAACTATTAGAATTTAAAACTAATATGTACAAAATAGTAAATGCATGGCGTGTGGGAAATGTTAAATGTGTATATGATAGCAATATGATCGTAAAAAACCTAAGAAATGTATTTTATATTTATGTATGTACATGCATACATACGGGGTATATGGCATGCAAACAAATATAGTATATTTTGTATATATAGTATATCATTGTTGTTTACCTTTCATGAATTCCTTGAGCTGCTCGGCAGATATGTTTCTGTAACCCAATTCATTTAAATAGTCCAAAATGGCGCGTGCATCCAATGGCAAATGAGACATTTTCCCAATAGCAGCGACAGCAGTAAAAACATCGGAGACCCTCCACTATGGCAAAAGATGTCGACGTATGAATAAAATTTGCTGGAATTGTATGTATTTTTTCACTTAGCTCACTTGGTGCTGTGGCTATTTAACTTTTGTTGTCTTTAGTTATTGAATTTCGTTTTTCTAAGCGTTCGAATTATCTTCTCCTATGTACATATGTATGTATGTTTCTCTCAGTTTTACACTTTGTTCTCCACTTTCGCTATATTTCTACTGGTGCACCTTCATACATATGTAGGTATATACGATTATAAGGTCCCAATTTAACACTTTTTCATCATGATTCTCAGGCGGCCATTATAAAGCGACGTTCGCCAACTCGCGTTTCTACAACACAAAACATTAAAAAATTATCCAACAAATGCAATACAGAACAATAATCTCACGAAAGCGCACCAACTCACACACAAATTGGAAAAGCAAACGACGACAAAAAACCAAACCCAAACGCTATGCTTAGCTACTTGCCCTCGTCGTTTCCTTCGTTTTTTCAGCTTTTATGCAACTTTAAACTTACTTTTCACACCGATTTCACTTGCTTTAGTGGAACTGTACTTTACTGAATACTTTTTTTGTATAATTGTTAATTATTTGTGTGATCTTATGGCAATTTTATTAATAAAATTGCAGACAGCGCTCGTTCGCCACTTCGCTTAAAACCAGTGCTGCCAGTATTTTATTCTCTAGCCACAAAAAGCCGACCATCGAAATTGTTGCCACACTAATCATGAGAATATTTCGATTATACATAAAAATGCTTCATTAAGCTTAAAAGGAGAGCGGATTGAATGCCAAAACGCAGACCAAAATTTTTTATTACAACTTAGATAATTTTGTAAACTTAAATGCTGAAAAGAGTGAAATACAAAATCGGTAAAATTATTAATTTGAAAATAGTTTTTATAATTGGCAGCACAAAAATAAACGACGCTCGATTTTCTTCTCCCCTTTTTGTTCGTTTCGTTTCGTTAATTTTGTTCGTATGCAATCGTTTCTGCAGCTGCGACATCATGCTCCAATCTAGCTTTCCATTTTGTTTCGTGGTGAATTGTTTCAAATGTATTGCCATGCATATTCAAAATAAACAAATCGTTAAAAAAGAAACAGACACGGAGAATTGGTCGTCTCGGTATTATAAAACTACAAAATCTTATTTGATTTTTAATTATCATTAAAAATGATTCAGTGCATCAAATTAATACAAACACTTTTCAGTTTATCTGGGAAATCAATGGAATGGGAATGGGGAATCAGGTTCAATCTTATGAAAAGTTATAAAATCCCAAAAACCGCCAAAAATTAGAAATTAATACCGGTAAGTTTTTAATGTTTCATGAATAGTTTTTTCTTAAGAACCTTTTAAGCTGTGAAAAATAGTCAACTATAAAAAAATTACAGAAATAATGATTTTTTATTATTCTAATTTCCAAAATAGATTGCAGAAAAAGTTGCACCTTGCATGTAAAGTGGCTTTCGAAAGCTGTTTTTATTTCTGAAAATAAAACTTTCCTATACTAATTTTTGCCTGTTTACACGGTAAAAGCAGACAAGTCCACTTTCAACTATGTCACCAGATATTTTTATGCTTATAACAAAATTAATGATCTGAAAAATTCACTAAACCTGCAAAAATGTGCACAAAACAGTCATACAATGTCTAACACATTAATTCTTAAATACTCTATATAAGTAGAATAATTTAATTACAGGCTTTTCATATGTTATTCAAATTTTTTTAATTTTATTTTTTATTTTATTTAATTTTATGTATACTATTTTATGTGGAATTATTCAATAAATTTCGTTTTACACTATACTTTTTGAAACTATTTGGAGTTAATTATTTTTGTTTCATAAAAGCAGCCCTGCGTGGTTGGAAGACGGATGTACCAATAATTTCATCCCTAGCATATTCATCCCCGAGGAAGGCAGTCGCCAAATTCACCGAAGGTTGTTTACTGGTTATATTGTGGTATCGATGCTTCGATATATCCACCTTGAAATGTCAAAAAATCGATTATCGTGCCATGAAATATCGATATTCAGGATAATCGATACGATATCGAAAATTCTAATTCAGGGCTTGGTTTCGATGAAACGAAACGATGGTAAATGAAACGAGCAACACTAAAAGGGAATATGAAAAATCGCGTCGACAAAAGCTTCCGTGTATAAACACAGACTAATAATAATAATAATAATAATTTGGCGCTAACACATATGTTAGGGTTTGGCCGAGCTACTCCTCCGATTTGTGGTGTACCTTGATGTTGTCACACAAAGCGGAGGGACCTACAGTTTTACGCCGACTCCGAACAGCGATTGTATTTTTATGAGAAGCCGTTTTTCATGGCAGAAATACACTCGGAGGTTTGCCATTGCCTGCCGAGGGACGACCGCTGTTAAGAAAAAACCTTTTTCTATATTTTTTGCGATGTTGCTTTGACCAGGGTTTGAACCCAGGTGCTGATGAGTGAAAGCGCGCACTGCTTACCACTACACCACAGCGGCCAAGTGTGAAGAGAGAAGTTAGAACTCATTCTCCCAAATTGACTGTCCCACTCTATTAGATCGCATTAAACTCAATGCTCAAATGAGAATGCTACGTCAACATATGTTTCGATTCGATATTCGCAAAGTTATCGATTCTGCAGACAACTATCGGTCGTATGAAATGGTTATTATTTTTGGGCTGCAGGCAACTCTTTTTAACAGCTGATTTTTGTGTTTAAAGACACATCAGTACATTTTTTTAAAATAACTATTGCAAAAAGCTCTAAATCTAAATGTCGGCATTAAAATATAGAAATTGGAGTTTAGTTTTCCTCTTCACGCTATATGTTTTAATAGCTAGCAATGTGTTGTGCCATGAAGCCAAGGATTTTGATGATTCAGTACTTTATAAAATCGATTTTGAAATGCCGGATTTTGACAAGGATCCTGTAAGCAACAATCATTTCATCTATGATTTTTTTTTCTTTAAACTTATACCCTGACATTGAATAGGACTTGAAAAATCATCTCCGTACATTCTACACACATGATCATGAGAAATATGACTGCGTTATACCAGTTGTTCAAGACACCAAAGAGGAGCAAACTTCCACTGAACCTGAACTTTGTAAGAAAATTTAAATATACACAAATGCATATATACATACATATGTAAGTCGGCAAATGTTCGGTTATTTGTACAATGGTTTTGCTAGAAAAGCGAAACTACATTCGAATCAGAAGGATTCGATCGGTATTAAAAGATTTCGAATTATTTTCGCCTACTGAATTTTCGGTGCCTCATTTGGACTTAGCGAATTGCCTCTCTATCAATATAACCGAAAAAATAAAACCCTGTCCTAGTCCTTTTCGAAAGGTTGCATTTTTAATTTATCTTGCTTCTTATATCAAAATATGAGTTTTCATAAAAAGTGGACTTAGCAAGTTTTCACTCTAAGCAAGCGATATTTCACACCGAATTTGTTGATAAATTAGTGCTTAGATATTTGAAATATTGTTTTAAATTAAAGTTTAATCCTTTGACTGCACGTGTATGTTAAAATTTTTTGATTCGGGTCAATGTACAAATAACCGAACCGTTCCCCGTAAGTCAAATACCTAAACAATGATTCTTGAATATTTTTTTTTAGCGCCAATAACTCTGCTGCAGCCTTTGTTCTCGACATCGAGTTGTTCATACAGGATTGAAGCTTATTGGTCGTATGAAATTTGCCATGGTCAACACGTACGCCAATCGCACGAAGAAAGAGAAGGTATGCTTCATTATTACTTATTTGTCCTAAAAAAACATGTTTCTTTTCGCATTAATTGCAGGAAAAAATGTAAAACTACAAGAATATTACTTAGGCAAATGGTCAGACGCAAAGACCGAAGAATTAACAAAGACTTGGGAAAGTGACCGGAAAGCAGGTGTGAAATATAAGACGACGAAAATTGAAAATACTAGATACCCATATTTTGAAATAGCAATGTCCGATGGTACTATGTGCGATATTATTGACTCGCCCCGCACAACTCATGTACGTTATGTTTGCTATCCGCATGGCAAGAATGAAATATATTCATTTAAAGAAACATCTTCTTGTAATTATGAGGCTATTATTCTGACATCAGTGCTTTGTATGATCCCCGCTTTTCATCCAGAAGAATCAAAGGAGGTTCCCATTAAATGTTTCAATTCGCCCACTGAGATACATAAACCGCTTAGTATGCTACGTCAAGAGCTTAGTGAAATGCAATTAGCCGATGATGAATTACCCGTATCGAAAGATGCTAGTACTGCGGCTATGGCTTTGGCTCGTTCTGCAGCAGCTACAGAGCGATTGTCTTTCTTTAATAAAATCGGCACGGATGTGGATAAACTTGTACTTGAATTGATGATTGGCGCGGGTGTTGACGTGCCTGCCGCACCAGCTGTTAATAATGAAGTTATGCCACATGTACCAAAAGCACCTATCACAGATTTAACGGCAGTCAAAGAATTTATTTCGGGTAAAAATTGTTTAACTGGCGTAAGTATAGTTCTAAATTTATAAAAAGTTGAATGAAGTGAAACATTTAAGTAATACTTTTAAAAAAGTAATTTCTTACAAATGATGATTAAAAAAACATTTTTCAGGGCACTGGGTGGTGGAAGTATGAATTCTGTTATGGTCGACATGTGCGTCAATTTCATAAGGACAAAAAATCTGAATCAGAACTCTTCCTGGGGTACTTTTCGGAGAACTCACATCGGCAATGGCTGGCCAAAAATCTTGATAAAATGCCCAAGCAAGGAGGCTATTCCTCAGCACTTTGGCATCATTATGATCGAGGGACACACTGCGATCGCACCGGATCTCCACGTGAAGTAGATGTCAAATTAATGTGCACGCCTATCAGTAGTAGTTCGAGCGCAGTTTCCATTTACCTATTAGAGCCAAAAACATG